GTACTTAGATTTTGACTTAGTTGATAGATTGGTTCAATTGATTTGATCTTATCCCGTGGCAGCTTTTCATATTAGGCTAATGGTATTTGTATCATATTTTTCTCATGAAATGTAACTACTTTTATTATGAAATATTATCATTTATATTTATATTGTACTTTAAAGTGACAATTGAGTGTAAAAATATGAAATCTATTGAAAATTTTATGAACGTCTAACTATTAAACAAATCAAAAAAAAAAAAAAAAAATATTGTTTAGGTTATGTTTAGGTTATGGGTGTTGTTAAGTACTGATGTGTAAAAAGATAACAAGAGAAAGTTCAAAAGTGTAGATGTGGTAATACAAATCTCTCCGACCGGGTGGAACTTGAGTAATCGTTTTTTTTCTCACCGGTTGAACGTCGTGCACCTACAAAGAATTCTCACATCGGAGGGGTCTTCCGGTGAAGAGTCTCCAAAGCATAAGTCAGTGTTTGTTCAATCAATTCTCAAGAGTGCAAAATAGAATGATCGTGTTGAACAAGAAAAGTTCACCGTCATATATATAGGGGTGAGATACCTGCCCTAGGAGCTGCCCTGATCTGCTGAGTTGGCTGCCCGGGTCTGCTCGTCCGTACACACACAGTGTACGTGTGTCAGAGGTAACCGTCGCTAGGGCTGCAAACGAGCCGAGCTGCTCGCGAGCGCTCGAGTCAAAGCTCGACTCAAACTCGAGTTTGACCGAACTCGAGTCGAGCTTGAGCGGCTCGAGCACGAACTCGAGTCGAGCTCGAGCCCATATTTTGTCTTGTCGAGCGGCTCGTCGAGCGGCTCGAATACATATTAAATTACTAAAATACCCTTTATATATATGTTAACATAGGTCCTTATTGGTAATTTTACCTTTCTACTTACAATTTTTGAGCCGAACTCGAGTCGAGCTCGAGCCGAGCTCGAGCTATTGAAATTTTTTATCGAGTCGAGCTCGAGCAGCTAAAAAAAAAGTGTCAATCCTGCTCGATAAGGCCAATGCTCGACTCGGCTCGGCTCGTTTGCAGCCCTAACCGTCGCCACTATCCTCTGCACCAATATCTTCGCGTCACGTGTCTTCCTGCACATGGAGCAAAATATTCCCTCGCGATTTGCTGACGTCCCACTGACACCTCAATTCCGTTAGAAGCTCATCGTATTTTGACCTTATCTGAGTCAACTCCCTAAGTTGTCTTTTATCCCCTATAAGATCAACCACTAGGTTATCCTAGAGTTACCTTCGACCAGGATTGTGGTCTTCCAGATGACCTTCTGCTCGAGCTCTTCGCGTACCAGTTAGATCTCATCATTGCTCGTGCTTAGGCCTTCATCGCCTCTCCTTAGTGGTATTTAGCACTACCCTCTTGGCTCGTTATCGCGACCCAGCATGGTTCTCCTTCACTTCCCGAT